CTGATTTTCAAGTCATAGATTTAAAAAGTAAGTCGTTATTTTGGTGTGACAATGCTATTTAGTTCTTGCTTTGTACTGTGTCGAGAAGGTGAACGTTACTGAAAAGAATGTGCAGTGACATAATGACTGAAATCTGTCATATTTTAATATTATTTATTGTTTCAAAGTGTCATAGATTTGTGTGTAACGAATGTTTGATAGGCGTTAACGTTTGAATTAAAGAAATGGAGAATGATTTGTATGTTTAAGTGGTTTGTTTACATGGTGAGATGGTTGTGTTGGACGTATAAAACAGCTTTTCAATGAGATATTAATGTGAAATATTGAAATACTTTACATTTATAATTGAAGGTTTGTTAGGAAATGGTCGTTGAAATTTTTAATAACCTGTTTCAGCTTGAAAAGGAGATTCAACATTGAATGTCCACTGAAGTAAGGTATTCCGTATATGAGCGCCGACTTGCTTCAAAGCAAAGTGTGTTTGTAACTTTACTTATAATTGTTTAAGCATGTGATTGCATGCATTATTTAGCTCATTTTATGCGGAATAAGGATATTTGGTTAAAAATTGCTACGAGTAACGCATTTTTACACGTCCAGTGTGTAACATTATCGAAAACGTTATGTGAAAGCCAGCGGATTACGGTTTGTTTACATTTCGTTTTAGCTTTATTAACTGATTTTCGCGTTGCTATTTGATTATTTTCAGATACAGTGTTGAAATATAAATAAGAATCCTTCCATGAAAGTAAAACACTTGGCGAAAAAGTAAGTACTTTATGATTTATGGTGTTTGTTTACTTTTTGAATCAGGTCAATTTCTGCGTAATTCAGTAGTGTTTATAATAATTTTATTTAAATAATATGAGTTTATGGGCACTTAGCTTCAACTTATGATATGAATTTCGCCGAAATAATGCATAATTAGCATTTTACAATGTTTGTTTACATTTTGCATTATCTTATTTTATGCTTAAATCTGAAATTTTTTAAACTTCTTTTTGATAAAATGTGGTTATTTATTCTTAGTACTGTACCCTAATAAGGAAATTAATTCGAATTGACGCGTATTTAACATTTTACATGGTTTGTTTACATTTTGCATTCGGCCGTTTTTTCGGTAATTCTGAAGTGTTTTTGACCGGTGTTTCGGTAAAATGTTACTTAGTGGCCTTGTATCTTATAAATAAGAAAGAAATTTAGTGGAAAATACGTAAAATAAAGGTTTTGAGTGGTTTGTTTACATTTTGTTTGGGCGATTTTTAGCGTTTAAAATGAGCGATTTTCGCCGTTTTTTCGCACACAATGTTTTTTTCAATAAAATAAGAGTCGATTACATGTGAAATTAAATCGAATTAACCATTAATTAACGATTTTCGAAATTTCGCCTTATTTCGAAAAAAGCTCGATATTTTCTAAGTCCACACATTTCGTAAAACGTTCCTACAAAATTTGGTTAAGTTTCGAAAAATCGCGTTTTTCAATGCCGAAAATATTTCCCAAAAATGCGAAGTACGAGATTTAAAAGTGCGAGAAAATGACTAAGTCCAACTGCGAGAAAAAAAACGACAAAGTCCCGAAAATATTTCAAAGTCCAAAAAAAAAAAACACAGCCGAAGAGCGACCGTAACCCACACGGGGAAACGAGAAGTTCGTATTAGCGTTTTTGCAAAAAAAAACACCACGGCGAGGGGTCCACGTCGGGAGAAAGCATGCCGAGCTACCGTCACCCTGAAAAACAACCTGTTTGCGCACATGACTGTCGCCACCTTATATGTGGGGTAGTGGTTGACGAGATCGAACGAGGCGCGCGTTGCGTCGTATTTCGATTCTCGCTCAGGCACGGAGGCTCGTACGTTGTTACGGTCAATCGCAAAAGCGTGGAGTACCGCTACGACTGAGAGCTATTTCGTGACGGAACGTTGCACTGGCGTCTCTTTATATGGGATGCTGGGCGGCGAACTTCCTGGGCGCAAAAGCTCTTCACGGGCACGGCTGTGGAGGGGTCGAGGGTTTGGCTACCGCTCTGACCGCAAAGCAGACGTGACGGATTCGTTTGTGCGCTCCTATGAGTTCTTCATGGGAGTGGTGCGTTCGTTTCCTCTCGTGATTCTGGCTTTTAATGAACGGTAAGGAGACAGCCGTTCCTTCGCAGCGAAAGGTCTGCGGGCAGGGACGATATACCGACTGGTTGTTGAGCTGGCTACCGCTTCCGGTCGGGAAACGTCTTTGACCGGTTGCACGCAACTTATCGCGAAGTTCTTTCGTGATGGAGGAGTGTGCGACCCTCCTGCGGACCGGCGTAGTAGTTCTCTTGTCCCTAGGGCCCCCCTCGTCTTCGGGAACTTCGTGTTCGCCGCTAGACGGGGTTGAGAACTGAAAACTTTCACAGCGAGTCTGCGACCAGCTCGGCCCCCGTGCCGTTGCTGGGCGTCCAGACCCGTAATAATAAAAATTGAAACACGGGACCTTTTGAATCTGTGTCCAACGCAGTAAAAATAGCCTCTCGATGCCCACGAAGGCTCACCTCCCGGCGCTGATGCCGTGGAGGACGTAGTGAGTTTTGAACCGCTACCGAAAGCACGAGATTATAAATCTGTGCGTATGAAATAAAAGAGGGAGCCGCCTGGACAACGGCTCCCAGCGCATTTTCCAAGGTGTGCGCTAAGAAATTGGTGGATTCGAGTTGCTCGCAGCTCGAACGTTCTATGAACGTAAAAAAGCTACCTGGTTGATCCTGCCAGTAGTCATATGCTTGTCTCAAAGATTAAGCCATGCATGTCTAAGTACATGCCGTATTAAGGCGAAACCGCGAATGGCTCATTAAATCAGTTATGGTTCCTTGGATCGTACCTTACTACTTGGATAACTGTGGCAATTCTAGAGCTAATACATGCAGCAGAGCTCCGACCCTCTGGGGACGAGCGCTTTTATTAGACCAAAACCAATCGGACCTCGTGTCCGTATCATGTGGTGACTCTGTATAACTTTGGGCTGATCGCACGGGCTCGTCCCGGCGACGTATCTTTCAAGTGTCTGCCTTATCAACTGTCGATGGTAGGTTACGCGCCTACCATGGTCGTAACGGGTGACGGGGAATCAGGGGGTTCGATTCCGGAGAGGGAGCCTGAGAAACGGCTACCACATCCAAGGAAGGCAGCAGGCGCGCAAATTACCCACTCCCAGAACGGGGAGGTAGTGACGAAAAATAACAATACGGGACTCTTTTGAGACCCCGTAATTGGAATGAGTACACTCTAAATCCTTTAACGAGGATCAATTGGAGGGCAAGTCTGGTGCCAGCAGCCGCGGTAATTCCAGCTCCAATAGCGTATATTAAAGTTGTTGCGGTTAAAAAGCTCGTAGTTGGATCTCAGTTCCAGACGGGTGGTCCGCCTACCGGTGGTTACTGCCTGTTCTGAACAGCCAGCCGGTTTCCTTTGATGATCTTCACCGGTTGTCTTGGGTGACCGGCAAGTTTACTTTGAAAAAATTAGAGTGCTCAAAGCAGGCGTGACGCCTGAATAATGGTGCATGGAATAATGGAATAGGACCTCGGTTCTATTTTGTTGGTTTTCGGAATACGAGGTAATGATTAAGAGGGACAGACGGGGGCATTCGTATTGCGACGCTAGAGGTGAAATTCTTGGACCGTCGCGCAAGACGAACTACTGCGAAAGCATTTGCCAAGAATGTTTCCATTAATCAAGAACGAAAGTTAGAGGTTCGAAGGCGATCAGATACCGCCCTAGTTCTAACCATAAACGATGCCAGCCAGCGATCCGGCTGTGTTCCTCAAATGACACGCCGGGCAGCTTCCGGGAAACCAAAGCTTTTGGGTTCCGGGGGAAGTATGGTTGCAAAGCTGAAACTTAAAGGAATTGACGGAAGGGCACCACCAGGAATGGAGCCTGCGGCTTAATTTGACTCAACACGGGAAAACTTACCCGGCCCGGACACAGGAAGGATTGACAGATTAAGAGCTCTTTCTTGATTCTGTGGGTGGTGGTGCATGGCCGTTCTTAGTTGGTGGAGCGATTTGTCTGGTTAATTCCGATAACGAACGAGACTCTAGCCTACTAAATAGACGCTCCGATCCTTCGAGTCGGACGTTCTTCTTAGAGGGACAAGCGGCGTTTAGCCGCACGAGACAGAGCAATAACAGGTCTGTGATGCCCTTAGATGTCCGGGGCCGCACGCGCGCTACATTGAAGGAATCAGCGTGTGCTTTCCCTGTCCGACAGGACTGGGTAACCCGTTGAACCTCCTTCGTGCTGGGGATAGGGGCTTGTAATTGTTCCCCTTGAACGAGGAATTCCCAGTAAGCACGAGTCATAAGCTCGTGTTGATTACGTCCCTGCCCTTTGTACACACCGCCCGTCGCTACTACCGATTGAATGATTTAGTGAGGTCTTCGGACTGGCTCTCGAAGCGGCTTTCGGGTCGCGTCGGCGTGCCGGAAAGATGACCAAACTTGATCATTTAGAGGAAGTAAAAGTCGTAACAAGGTTTCCGTAGGTGAACCTGCGGAAGGATCATTACCGATGGTCAGATTCGTCTGGCAAAAACATTGGTTAAACTCGGGGAGGAGGGTTCGCCTTCCTTCCCTGTGCTGCGCGCCACAGAGCGGCGTGGAAGCACAGAAAAAAACTTTGAATGCTTATTTTTGAAATCCCAAGTGGTCTCGTACCCACATCGAGGTGCCTAGTATAATTTCCCGGTCGCAGATTGACGACAAGAGGGAGGTGTTGGACTTTCGGGTCCGATGCTAGGTTTAATGAGTACCGCCACAGTTGGTGGACCGCCTCGCGGGTACGATATCCCGGTGGGGCCCTCTGAAGGAAGAGCGACGGAGAGCTCGCGACTTCGGTCGACTTCTGGTGGGGTCACTTTCCGTGAATTGAACGCTTCTCCGTGCTTCCCCGCAAGGGGAGGTATTTCTTTCATAAGACTTTTGAACGCAAATGGAACCCCTCGGGGATCCATATAATAAAGATGACAACTCTGAGCAGTGGATCACTCGGCTCACGGGTCGATGAAGAACGCAGCCAGCTGCGAGACTTGGTGTGAATTGCAGGACACATTGAGCACTGATTTTTCGAACGCGCATTGCGGTCTCGGGTGATACCCGGGACCTCGCCCTGTCTGAGGGTCG